CAGCCATGTGGGAGTCCAGTGCCCTTAACTATTATGCCTTCTGCTGACCCTTTTTTTATGATTACTTTAATTTAACTTTATTTTATTTATTTATTTTAATTTCATGCATTTTTAAAAATTTTGTTTTGTTTTTGCTACAGGGTGCATGCACTTGCTGAAGAGAGACAGAGAGAGGGAAAGTGAGAAATACCGCCCCAGGGTAGATGGCCACATGGTAATCCCTTCTCCTCCATTCTCCTCTTGGGATCTTGGGCATGTCCAGACAAGTGCCTGGTGTGATATTCAAGTTGCCGAGTCTAGTACTTGGACCATGGAGCCAAGGGAGAAGGGCTTCCCAGGTAGAGAGACAATGTGGGACCCAGTCACCTTAATCTCCACGCCACCTGCTGGCTCCGTCCCAAGCATTTTGTGTTAGAGGCTTTTGCCTTAGGGCACAAGTACTCTCTGAAGAGAGTCAGAGACAGAGACAGTGAGAGGGAAAGTGAGAAATCATCCCACAGGGGGAGGCCATGCTACAAGCCCTTCTCCTCCATTCTCCTCCTGGGATCTTGGGCACGCATACTTGGGCACCCGGTATGATTTTCAAGCTGCAGGGTCTGTGACTTGAATTGCTGTCGGCCTTGTGGGAGTCCAGCAACGGAACTGCTACACTATCTGCTAGTTCCATCCTAAGCATTTTAAAGTGTTTTTTTTTAAGTTTATTTTATTCATGATAGTACAGCACACGAGAGAGAGAGAGGAGAGAACCCTTCCAAAGGGTCTCATCAGACCACAGTCTCCTTCCCCAGCCCTCCAGAGCTTGTCAAGATCTTATTTTTTTTTTTTAATTTTCCTTTTTTTTTTTGGAGAGGTTTTTGCTATAGGGTATGTGCACTCGCCAGACAGACAGAAAGACAGAGAGACAGAAAGCAAGAAATCATCCCCCAGGGAGGATGGCCATGCCACAATCCTTTCTCCTCCACTCTCCTCTTGGGATCTTGGGCACGCACACACACGTGCCTGATGTGAGTTTAAGCCACTGGGTCCGGGACTCGAACTGCGGTCAACTATGTGGGAGTCCAGCAACATAGCCATTATGCTAACTGCTGGTCCCAAGCTTGTCAAGACCTTGAGCATGCATGTGTGCACCTGGAGTGTTTCAGGCCAGCCTGCCAAGGATCTGAACCTGTGGTGCGTAATGTGGCCTCCAGCACTGCAATTCAATATGTCATTGAAGGACTAGCAGGTCTGGTGGTTAAGGCGCTGGAATTCCCACATGACTAACCATGGTTTGAGTCCTGGACCTGGAGGCTTGCTTTTTCTCTCTCTCTGTCTTTCTGTGGCAAAACTCATGTGAAATAAATAAATCTTTAAAAAAAAATGTCATTGATTATGGCATGGAGGCTGGGCCTCAACCATTTTGTATGATCTTATTTGGGCAGCACAACAATTCTGTAAGATCAGCACGGCTGCATCGCATTGAATTTGAGATATCATCAATTGTGACACATACCATTATTTTATGTATTGCTAAGAAAATACCATCAATTAAGCCACAGCATGGCTTCAACTTGTGATGTATTCTGACTTCAGAGCTGTTAAGATGGAAAAAGGAAAAGAAAGGTGACAGGGCCACCAGACAGGTCCTGTAGCCTACTGGTTAAAGGAGCCAGATCCAATATGGCCGACTGAGGTTTGACTCTTGGCCCTGGCAGCTTGAAAAATATGCTGGGAGCATTTGTGGACTTTCCTCAAATCCCAACAGGATGGAGAAATAGAGAAAGAATTGTAGTGTGACCATGCCCACTGGGGGGATGCTTTCTCTCTTTCCTTCCCCCTCTCTGTCTGTCTCTGGCAATAAAAAAAAAAAAAAAGTCATAGAATCTATAAGATACATGATGTACATTTAAAAGATGAGGCAACAGGCAGAGAGGCTAAATAACGTGTCCACGATCCAGTAAGAAACAGAGCCATGATTGGAAACCAGACAGTCCAACTCCAAAGCCCAAGGTTGTCATATTTTTTTTTAAAAAGAATCATTTGTTTTAAGTATTATTATTTTTTAAACTGGCCAGAGAGAGAGAAAGGGAAAGTGAGAAAGTAAACCACCAGGTCCAGGACTCGAACCGGTGTTGGCCATGTGGGAGTCTAGCACCTTAACCACCATTTCATTTGCCGGCCAGCCCCCCCACCCTTTTTTGATAGTGTGAATGTACAAGTGTGAGAGGAGAGAGAGAAACATCTTCCACGGGGCTTAGTCACCCCATGATCCTCTTCTTCTAGTCCTCCAGCCCACCAGGATCCTGGGCATGTGTGCACACACCTGGCACGTTTTCAGGTAACCAGGTCAGGAACTCAAACCTGGCTAGATGTGTGGCTTCCAGCTCCACATCTGGGCACACTACTAACTGCTCCACAGAGGCTGGACCCAAAGACCAAGCCTTTATCATTTGACACTGGACAGGAGTCTGTGAGCATTGTGGAGCCTTAGGAAGGTCAGTATGGCTGCTCAGGGTAAAATGGGCCCAAGGGGGAACAGGCGGAGTCACGCAACGCATCTGGGAGACAGGGGTCTACTGAGAGAGAGGTCAGATGGGCTGGGGCCATAAGCAGGAAGACAGTATAGGCAGAAGTCCTTTAAGAATGGGCAGGACTGGGACCAGCAGTTGGCTTAATGGCTGTGTTGCTGGACTCTCATGTAGTCAACTACAGTTTGAGTACCAGACCCGGTGACTTAAACTCACGCCGGGTGCTTGTGCGTGCCCAAGATCCCAAGAGGAGAATGGAAGAGAAGGAATTGCGGTGTGGCCATCCCCCCTGGGGGGTGATTTCTCACTTTCTGTCTCTCTGTCTTTCTGGCAAACGCACGTGCCCTATAACAAAAAAAAAAAATTTAAATAAAAAAAATAAAAACCTTTCCCCCAAAAAAAAGAATGGGCAGGACTGGTTGACCTACTGGTCGTTTGGTATGAAAACAAGGACAACTCCAAAACTGGAGCCTGGAGATAGAGCATAGAAGGGTGTGGCAGCTGCTGCAGTCCAGGGGACAGCTGTGGCCCCCCCACAGTCAGGAACTGGGGCTCCTCATCCCATCTTGAGCAGCAAATCTGCCCGGTGCCTGGTGGACACTCACTAAGCAAATGCCAATTGAATGAGTAGTATGATCTCCAGGTCTCATTTTTTTCTTCCTTGTGTGTAAAATGAAAGTTTTAGGGGCCAGAAGGCGATGTGGTGGTTAAAGGTGCTAGATTCCTACATGGCTAACCACAGTTCGAGTCCCAGAGTTCAAGTCTTGGACCTGGAGTCTTGCTTTCTCGCTTTCCTTTTCTCTCTGTCTCTGTTTGATCAAATTTTTTAAAAATAATAACAAATGGGACCAGCAGGTAGTGTGGTGATCGAAGTGCTGGACACTCCCACATGGCTGAAAATGGTTCGAGTCTTGTACCTGGTAGCTTGCTTCCTCACTTCCTCTTTTTCTCTCTCTTGTCAAATTAAAATAAATGAATGAATAAATTAAATAACAAATGGAATGAAATAAAACAAGTAATTCTTTTTTAGAAAAGAATGAAGGGATTGGACTACTATGAAAGGGAAAGGGAAACGCTGTCGTGAAGGGGACAGGAGATCCTCCCCCGTGCCCAGGGCCTCTGTGGGTACTCCTGGAACAGTGAGTTCTCACCCTGGCTGTAGGTTACACTAAAGAAGGTCCCACAGGAGACCGCTGAATTCAGAATCTCTCAAAGAGACCCAAATGGTTTGGGATTTTTATTAAGTTTATTTCTTCATGTCTTCCACGAGAGACAGAGAGGCAGAAGAGAGATAAAGACAGAGAGAGAGGCACCCCCAGCCTGGTCTTCACACCACAATCACACCCCGCCTCAGTCAGCCCGGGTTGCGGGCACCATGACCCGTTCAGTGTGTACAGGGAGGTCTCAGGATGAGAACCCAGGACTTCCTCATAGGAGCCCAGCATTGTAGAGTGTATATTGCTGCTGTGTCACCCTGGCTGGCCCACCACTAGCAGTGCTTCTTTTATTTAAAGAAAAAAAAAAAAAAGTTGTATAGAGCATGTGCATCGAGGTGGGGGAGAGAGGGACCGTGAGAAAGCACCCCCGGGGGGGAAGGCCATGCTGCAGTCTGCAACCCCTTCTCCTCAGCTCTCCTTCTGGGGTTATGGACATACGTGCACACGCACCTGGCTCGTTTTCAGGCTACCAGGTCTGGGACTCAAGCCGCATTTACCATGCCACTGGCTTGGCCAGCACCAGCAGTTTTAAAGTTGCCCGGGCGACTCTGATATGCGGCTGGTGGAGAAGAACCCTTGTCTGGAGCCTCCAGGAACCTGGTTTGCAAACCAGTGGACGGGACCAGCAGTTAGCGTAATGGCTATCTTGCTGGACTCCCATGTAGTCGACTGCGGTTCGTGTCCTGGACCCGGTGGCTTAAAACTCACGCCAGGCGCATGTGCGTGTGTGCCCAGGATCCCGAGAGGAGAAGGGATCGCGGTGTGGCCATCCCCCCTGGGGGGAGATTTCTCGCTTTCTGTCTGTCTCTCTGTCTCTCTCTGTCTGGCGAGTGCACGCGCCCTATAGTGAAAAAGTAAAAAAGAAAAGAAAACCAGTGGACAGATGAAGGCTGGAATCCCTTCCAGGTCTTGGACCGGGACTCGTGTTGGTGACAGGCCTCCCTTTTCACCCCTCAAACAAAAAGTTCTCTTAGGCCGGGGACCAAACACCAGGGTTCTCACGCATGTACTCTCCTGGTTTTGGACGGAATAACCTTTTGTGCGATGCAAGGACTTCCTTGTGCATTGCTGGGTGTGGAGCAGCACCCCTGGTCTCTACCCACTAGGTGGAGTAGCACAGCCTCCTAGTCAAAAGAGCCAAAAGGACTCCCAGCGTTGCCATCTTCTGGGGTGCAAAATCACCCCGGTGGACAATCACCGTGCTACCCTGAGAGTCTCCTGGCCTTCCTCTGCCCTCCCCGGTTGCAGACAGAGGCCAGACGGGGTGGAAGCCATTGGACAAGAGGTTTAGTTGGGCCTGGCAGGAGCGAAGCCAGGGCCTCGCAATGCTAACACAATGGAGGGTAGCATGCCAGCGGTCTGACTGATGTGGTCTCACTCCAGAGGGAGGGAGTTCTCCAGAACACTCATTCCCGGATTCCCAATCAGTCATAGGAGGGCTTAGAGTAGCTGCTGGGGCAGACAGCCCCTGCTTTCCGGGAACAGGCGGAAGGGGTGTGGGAGTGGCGGTGGTGTGTGGAGGGGATTCTTTCCTTCTGGAGATATTAATATTTTCCTGGCATGGTTGTTTCCTCTGTCTGATTGGTTGAGGGTTGGAGGGGAGGAACTTTCCAGCTATGGGTGTTGGGGTTCCTGGGGGGAATTGGTGCTGGAATCACAGGAATGTCTGGGTCTTAGGGCCTAGAAGACGGAACCTTTTGGGCTGGGAATAAGGAGGTGGCTTGTTGCCCCCTCCCCAAGGGATGTGGAGGTTGTGGGTACACACCCCTGAGAGCTGGAGACTGGGAGGTTGTCAGCCTCTTCACAAATCACGTTTTGCTTGGAGAAGGCGGGACCTGAGGGAAGAAGGCAGGATGGGAAGGCCCAGGAGAATGGGGCAGGGGGCTGGGAGGAAAGGAGGGAGGACGGGAGGAGGAAGGCGCTGGGTGGGGAAGGAGGTGGTGAGGCTCTTTCCTCCCTTATCCTGCAACTCACTCCACCTGGAGGCTCAGAACCCCTAGAAGCAGGACAGCCCCGAAGAGGGCGAGGAGCAGGAGCCTGGCTTCCCGAAGATCGTGACTTCCTGCAGTGAATCCAGGCCGTGAAAAGTCTTGGTGAGCACACCCACAACACTGGGGGAGCCTGAGGGCTCAGGGCCCCGGGAGGGGTCGGGAGCCAGGACCTGGGAAGCAGCGCTTGCGGGACCAACAGGCCACCTCGGTGCCCGCGCAGGTGGAGCAGTTGTACAGGATGGTGCTGCCCCCTGCAGGAGACAGCGGAGCAGTGCTGGGGACGGGGAGGCCTGGGCCGCCACCCTTCCTGAGGAGCCCACCTCCTCCCACCGCGCTCTGCCAGGCTCTCCTCAGGGGCCCGGAGGCCCGGGTCAGCGGCATCCCTTTCCTTTTCTACTCACGGCAGGCGGGGGCACAGAGACCTGGAATGAAGGACAGAGAAGGGGTGGGGTGGAGGAGCCACTGAGCCACTGGCCCCTTTGCTCCAAGTCCTAGGCACCCCGATGCCCTCCCCACATGGGTACCTTCTTTGGTGTACTCAGGGAGCTTGGTCTTTTGAAGCCACTGCCAGTATGAAGGGAGCGAGGGGGGAGACTCTCTGATCTCTGGGGAGGCAGAGAGAAGCTCCCTGATGCAGGGCCTCAGCACCAGGCCCCCCAGCGCCTCCCCTCCAGCAATCCCGTGCCCACCTGCCCTCTGCCCTCAGCCTCCATCCCTCTCTTCGATGTCCTCCCAGGCCCTGGGTCTGGCCAGCCCCTTGACCTCACCCATAACCCTCAGGACTCTGTGAGTCTTCTCGGTGACTTTGTTCATGGACACTTCATCTGCAGAGATGGG